TATGCCAATTGAAAAATTCATTAAACGTTATGAGCGTGCAGGCGAAGCAGACGGAGCTAGCGCAACGGATCTAGCCAAGCAGATCATTTCGTTTATCAGAGGAAGCGAATTGAAGGATGAAGTTGAAGAAATGGAAGGTTACGAGGACATCGAATGGGAAGCTCTCAAGAAACAGCTCCTGGACAGATTTGGGAAGACGTTGCCGTTGGTTAAATATACGAAACAAGATTTGAAGGATCTAGTTAATAATGCTGCCAGGAAAGGAGGAATTCGAACGTTAGAAGAATTCAAGATTTTCCGTACGAAGTTTGAAACAATTACTCACTATCTAGTCAGGATGGGATATAACTCAGACTTGGAGGACTTTCGAGAACTCTTGCTTGACGCCCTCAGCCCACATCTCGAGGAAGCTGTAACCCGTGAATTGATCAGAGATAATAAAATGCGAATTTCAAAAGATGGTGGAGATATTCTGCCGATAACTAAAATCATCATTCAATATATTCAACGAGAAGTTCAGTCAACATCCGTCATGCAACGTAGAACACAAGGAAGAGTAGATCAAACCCGAATGGAGGATGTGAAACCAGCAAAGTATATAGCTCCAAGACCACCAGTATCGGCACCACCCCCAGAATCCTACGAGAAGAAAATTCAAGATTTAACTAGACAACTGGCCTCTCTGACAGCTGGAAGAATGGCTCCTCCACATCAGGATTTGGATTCTGCACTCCCTTCAACATCGGCACCAACTAACGTTCCATTCAGGCGACCAGGATTCAGATGCTACTATTGTTTTCAAGAAAATCATAGCAGCAATCGATGCAGCCTATACACATTTGATGAATCTCATGGATTAGTCAAACGAGAAGGACGAGAGTATCTGTTGCCAGACAACACAAAAATAGCATGGGATACCCGACGACCTATTCGAGAGGAAGTAGAAAAATTTGAGAAGCAATCAAAAAAGACATCAGCTGGGGTCTCTTCTTCATTTGGAGAATTAGAGGAATGTGAAGAAGAGGAACGAGTGGCTTACGACGTGGATTTAGGAAAAAGAACCCGGTCTGAAAAGGAACCAGAAAAATCAGGAAGCGGAAAGAAGGGAAGAACAGAAAAGGACGCGGTAATGGATATTGATGCCGAAGATTTGTTGGAAAAAGCAACGACGTCAAAATCAGCTCAGGGATCAGCAAAAAAGAAAACAGTCCCAGTAAAAGTTAGATTTGAAGAATCCAACTCAGAAAAAGAAGAAAAGGAGAAGCCAGTCAGAAAAACCCAACTGGAAAAGACTTTGGCTAAAGAATATCCAGGAGCGGAGGAGGACACGGCTAAGCGGATGTTAACCGAAGGAAAAATGACGCTCAGTTATGGTGAAATTTTTGCAATTTCGAATGGAGTTGTGGATGTTTTCAAAAAGAAGATTTCGAATAAACGGGTGCCAGTAGACGAAACTGGATCAACAAACCAGGCGTCCATCGAAGGAAAAGAAGAAGAGCCATCAGCAGTTCATTATTCCTGTCCTTTAGGATATATCAAATTAAATATTAATGGAATGGATAGTGAGGCTTTGTTAGATACAGGGTCGATGGTGAATTTAATTCCAGAACATTTAGCGCAGCAGCTGGGACTTGTCATAACCGAAAAACCAATGAATTTAAAAGGAATCGGAGGTCATCGAACCGGAATAATTGGAATTGCCGAGGGAGTTGAAGTTAAGATCGGTCAAAATATCCGTCCAGTGCACTTCTGGGTTGCTAGAGACTCAGTTCAATTTATCCTAGGAAAACCGTTCCTTATAGACTCAGCCGCTACGATCCGATATGCCGAGAATGGAGTAGAATCATTGGCAATAGCCGATCAGAAAGGCAAAATTTATTTGATTCCAATTTTATTACCATGTCATCAAAAATCAGAAACAACAATTCCGGCGCATTTGGTCACAGAGGATTTTTTAGAGAAAACCCCGGGCTTAGGTCACTAAATAAGATTCCGGGGACAACTGTAGAAATAAAAAAAAGACAAGAATTGATTAGTCAGGCAGCCAAATATAAATCAGCAGCAAAGAAAGTTAAACCAATCAACATACCCATGCCCATGTCGATCAATCCACCATTATCAAGGCCAACACTTTCACGAGATCCGTATGACTCCCCAGTAATTCCCAATCCCCCAGAATTTCAACCTACAACTAAAATCACAGAGGAAAGATTAAAAATGATCAACTTCGGAACACCAAATTGGTTATCCAAGGAAGAGAAGAATTTGTTTTGTTATATTATTACCTTAAGAGAAAAAGCATTGGCATTCTCAGAAGACGATCGAGGTTTATTGAAGCACTCATACGGCAAACCATACGTTCTTCCAGTCATACCACATGAGCCATGGCAGCAAAAACCAATACCGATTCCTGGACCAATCAAAGATCAGTTTATAGAATTAGTCAGAGAAAGATTGCGAACAGGACTTTATGAGCAATCTTCTTCAAGTTATTCTAGTCCAGTATTTTGCATCAAGAAGCAGGACGGAAAATTAAGAATAGTACACGACTTACAGCGATTAAATAAAGTTACCATTAAAGATTCAGGTTTACCACCCTCGCCTGAGGAACTAGTGCAATCATTTACTGGAAGAGCTTGTTACGGTTTAGGAGATATAATGGGAGGATATGATGAACGAGAATTAGCCCCCGAATCACGACCTTTGACCACCTTTGAAACACCATTAGGAAGATTTCAGCTTACTAGATTACCTCAGGGAGCTACCAATTCGGTTGCAGTATACCAAGCCCAGATGACTTGGATTTTGCAAGACGAGATTCCAAAGAATGTTGGTATATTCATTGACGACGGTGGAATTAAAGGACCAGAATCAGATTACGGAGGCGAAACCTTGAAAGAAAATCCAGGAATTCGACGATTTATTTACGAATATGCCATCACCTTAGAAAGGATTTTGTTCAGAATCGAGGAAGCCGGTCTCACTATTTCAGCAAAAAAGTTTGCGTGCTGTGTTCCAGCGTTAGATCTAGTTGGACATGTGGTATGCAAGGAAGGAAGAAAAATATCAAAGAAGAAAATGAATAAAATCGAAACTTGGCCAACTCCGCAAAATCCGACTGAAGTCAGGGGTTTCTTAGGTGTTTGTGTCTACGTTCGGATGTTTATCAAGAATTTCTCAAAAATAGCGGCTCCTATTAGGCGGCTTACGTGGAAAGTGGCAAAGTGGGAATGGACTGAAGAATGTCAGGAGGCATTTGAAAAACTCAAGAAAATCGTGGGTACAGATATTACGTTGAAGAAATTAGACTATGGTAAAGACGCAGGAAAAATCAGATTGTCAGTCGACTCAAGCCAGATCGCCGCTGGGGCAGTACTCAGCCAAGAAGACTCACAAGGAAAAGATAGGCCGGTGCTATACGAGACGGTAGTATTCTCAAAGAGGGAGTCAAGTTATTCACAGTCAAAATTAGAATTGTGTGGCGTTACTAAGGTTTTGAAGAAGATGCAAACATTGTTGTGGGGTCAGCACTTCGAATTAAGAGTCGACGCAAAATGCTTGATTGGAATGATAAACAATCCATCCTTGCCAAACGCACCTATGAATCGATGGATCGCTTTTATTCAGTTATTCTCATTCGATTTAGTACATATTTCGGCAAAAAACTTTTCAATGCCGGACGGATTATCAAGAAGACCTTTGGATTCAGATGAAGATGATGAAGCCAGTTTTGATGAAGATGAAGAATGGATACGACCACATCCTGGATTTGGAAAGAAGGCAGCATTTTTAGTACGGCTGTTAGGGACAACAGCTAAGTTGGGGGAGGAAGTTTCGAATCTACAGCAAGGATTTTGGGAAAATTTAGAATTTTATCTGTCAACAGGAAGCAGACCAAAAGATATCAGTACAGAAGAATTTAACCAGATAAAGCAGAAATCAGCCTTTTATTTTATTACGAATGGAATTTTACACAAGAAAAATCAGCCTTACTCACAGGTGGTAGTTTCCACACCCACAATCCAGAATAAAATTCTACAAGAGTTACATGAAAGTTTGGGACACCGAGGAACTGAGGAAACGTATCGAAGAGTCAAATTACGATTTTGGTGGCCACATATGAAACGAGTAGTTAGAAATTGGGTACGATCCTGCGAACCATGTCAAAAACGGAGTACCGTATTACCTATGGAAGAAAGACAAGCAACAGGAAGATCAGCTTTATTCAGTAGAGTTAGTTTGGATACACTTCATATCAAGGCAGGAAGATGGAAATACTTAGTAGTAGCAAGAGACGATCTCTCAGGATGGGTCGAAGCAGTTGGACTGGAGAAAATGCAAGCCAAGAAGATTGCAAATTGGTTCCACGAATGTTGGATACTTAGATATGGCGCACCTACAAACGTTGTAGTAGATGGAGGATCAGAATTCGGAAGTCAGTTTCAAGAAATACTTAAGTCCATGGGAATTCAGATTTGAGTTACGACACCGTATTATCCAGAAGCCAATGGAATGATTGAACGTGGCCATAGAACAATAAAAGATACTTTGGTTAAACTTAGTGGCACAGAAGGAAAGAAGTGGTGAGAATATCTTCCGCTGGTACTATTTGCTGATCGAGTATCGACTAAACGAACGACCGGTTATACTCCGTTTGAGCTAGTTTTCGGGCAACAGGCAATCTTGCCAGTGGACTTAGAATTTGAAACTTATCTTGATATTGATTGGCTTAAAATAAAATCAACAGAAGATTTGTTGGAAGCCAGGGTAATACAACTAAAGGATAGGGATAATATTTTACAAAAGGCTCATACAAAATTAATAAAAACTAGACAGCAATCGGTTAATTATTGGAATAACAAAAAGAAAAACAGGAAGCCACTAAAGAAAGGAGATCTGGTGTTAGTTTACAATAAAAGTCTAGACTCACAGTGGGGGAAATTATTCGAAAATAAATGGAACGGGCCTTACCGGATTGTGGACCAAAATCCTGGAGGATCCTACGCGTTGGAAGAACTGGACGGAACGCCGTTGGCTAGAAAATATGCCGCCAGTCATGTTAAATTTTTCTATACAAGAGAAGAGGAAGAAGAAGAAGAATGAACTTACTTGGGGTATTAAAGTGATGACTATGGGGCATCCCATTTGGAACGGATTTTTCTAATTTATGGTTATTAGCCTAAAAAAAAAAAAAAAAAAAGTTAGCTAGATGATAAAAAAAAAAAAAAAAAAAAAAAATTAATTACTTGATAGAAAGCTTCACGAATCTGGATATAGGTGTGAACTCGAGCATCGTGATCGTTATAATCTTTCGGTTGATTGGATTTACAATAATGGACGAAACGGTTTAAAACCACCGCTTCCAAAGAATCGAATTCATCTTGAGAAAAGACGTCGTCGGAATAAAAGGTGTGGCCATGAGGAGTAAGAAGCATGGAGATTTCGAGCTCGTCCGCCATAGGCCCGACACCAGAAGACCCGTTAGAAGACACGTAGATTGGGGATTGATGGGTCATGTTGAAACAAAAAGCTAAGGACTAAAAAAAAAGAGAAGTCAGTAATGTGAAGGAAGAAGAGAATTAAATGAAAGAAAACACACGAACAGAATTGATTGGATTCAAGAAAAAGATCGGATAACAGAAGAAATGGATGGCCAATCGAAATGATCGGGTCCATGAAAGCGACCAAAGTTTGAAGAAGCAAAAATCAAATCAAAAACAGTGGTCATTAGCTTTAAAGTAAAAAAAAGAAGAATGATAAAAGAAGAGGATTTACTTAACCGGTTAGAAAGATCTGAAGATAAGCAAGAGAAGCGATCGACGAATACGAGTTGAAGCGAAACGATTAAGCCGGAGAAAGCGATGATCAGGTCAGAATTGAAGAAAATCGAAGGGCAGGAGGACAAGAGCGAACGGGTTCCATTGGGGAAAGATGAAACAAACAAAAAAAAACCGAAACAGTTTGTTAGCAGAGCCGATAAACGAGATCGAGATGATGAAGCAAAAAAAGTAACTTACTTTGATTCCGCTAAAAGACGACTGGAGCGAAAGACGCAGAGTCTTAGACGGATAAGGATCTATTCTGAAGAATTCGGAAAAAAAGGGGAAAATGATCGTTAGCGAGGTTGTCAATTAGAAAAAGAAAGAAAAGACGATCGATTACGCACGTAGCTTCATGAAGAACGGTCAAGGAGAGAGCCAACGTTTTGGTTGAACAAGGATTGAGGAGAATATCGAGTCGAGATTGGAGATGGTTAAGATAGGAAAAGGTTGAAAGGAGGAAAGGTTTTAGTTAGCCAACGATGAAAAGCGATCAAGAAAAACGATTACGCACCCGAATACTTGAGAATCGATTGGTCAGAGTGTCGAGAAAAAGGTATCGAAGAAGGTTGTAGGAAGATGGGAAAAGAGAAAAACGAAACGAAAATCAGCGGCTTAAATAGCTGAGACAAGAATGGTCAACAGGAAAGAAGGAGGAGATCGGCTTACTTAATGCATATATGCGCAAACAAGTGGTCAAGAACAGGAGATTGGAATCGAGGGTTGGGAACAAACACCGCTTAGGCAAATGAAATATTGAAATATCTTGAAATCAACCGTTGATAAAAGTCATTTGACTGTTGATCTGAAAAAGTCGAGTCAACGGGTGGAATACCTAAAACAAATGGTCGAAGGAATTGTCGAATCGAAGTAAGGTCGATCATTGAATGAATGCGAGGATACGGTTCGAAGATCAAGATAAGGCAGTGCTAGGCTGTTTGGGAAATCGATATAAGCCAGGAACGGAATTCCGAGTTAATTCGTTTAACACAAAGTTGAACAACGAAGAAAGCAAAAAAAAAAGAGAGAGCGGAAAATGGCTTACCGGTCGAGAAGGTACATCGCCTAGCCGTTTCAATTTAGTGACATAGGTCAGAAGGATAGGCTTTGAAAGCCAGAACGTTCAATCCAAAAGTACCGAAGAAAATAACAACGGACCGCATGAAAAGAAAAAAGGAATCAGTTGATTAATTGAGGAAAACCGATAAGAAGCGTCGTCGAAGCCGTTGGAGCGAGGGTCGGAGATCGACAAGAAAGAATGGATGTCGGAAATGAGAGTAGAATTAAAAACGGCTTACAAATGAGCAGTGTCAGGCTATTGGTTATAAGCGCCGAGAAAATCAAGTCGATTCCGCTTTTCCGTTAAATTAAGAATAAGTCGATTCCGTTATTCCGTTTAAACAAGAATAAGCTAGGCCGTCGAAATCGTTAAATTAAGAATAAGCCAAACTCGCCGATCCGTTTAAAAAAAGTCGATCCTGCTTTTCCATTTAATTGAGAATAAGCCAATTTTGCCAAAGTTAGGTCAGATCCGCAGAAAGCTCGGATACCGCAGTTGTGCACCAAATCTAAAGGAAATCTGGAAAGTGAAAATTTTCAAGACACAAGGAAAATTAATTTGCTTAAAAAAAAAAAAAAAAAAAAAAAAAAAAAAAACACAAAAAATAGGAAATATTAAAGACAAGAATACCAAAAACTAAAAAAAGTATTCATTAAGAAATTGTCTGAGGGCAGACAAATAAGTTGGGGGAGGATGTGGTAAGACCAATCAAACCCATAAAACATAAAAATATATATTAAAAATATTAAAATAGTAAATATAAATTAAAGAAAGCAGGTAATAATATCAAAAAGTCATGCTAAAGCCTTTTATTCTCAAATCATAGTCATTTTTCTTGATATTTTATTTCATATATAATTACACTTCACAGACTAAAGGTATAAAACATACAAGGAAGATTAAAAGGTATATATATATAATTACAAAACAGATCTTACAACATAACAAGAATGGTCAACAAGGAATTAGAAATAATATAATGTTATAAAGCTAAAAACCATTCAGAAGGAATAGAATAATATAATAATAAATCATAAAATCATTCAACAGATCTTATTAGTTAATTAAGCAGATCATTAATAATTAATTACACAGCCATTTAATTAATTACACAGCCATTTATTAATTACACAGCCACTCATCATTAATTTCACAACATAAGGATCATTAATCACACAGATGACATCATTGACCAACATAGCAGTAGAATATTGATTTCACAACAGCACATCATTAATTCCACAGCTGCACATCATTAAATTCACAGCTGTAAATCATTAATTTCATAGCATGACATCATCATGACATCATTAAATTAGCAGAATGAGGTCATTACCCAGTCAGACCAAGCATTCTCATCAGTGAAGCTGTTTACCATCCTCACCAAAGATTTTGTCTATAAATAGAGGCCCTTTCTGGCCCATGTTTCACTTCCTTCCTCCCCATGTCTGCATAGGAATAGTAATTAGAGATATTACTTAGCATTCATCAACCCTTATAATACAGATTCAGAATAGTAATAAGAGAATTTATTAAAACCCTTACTCCTCATCCTTTTATTGAAACCTGTTAAATAATAAGGAAATTATTTAACTCACCTCCATCTCTCAACAGAAGATATTGAAGAAATAAAGACTCACTTTATTAAAGACCCAGAATTGAACCAGAGAACCCAGAAAGAATAGATTAAACCAGAATAAACCTGAAACCCTCAGATATCTCCTAACTCCAGAAGCTCTTGACCATCCATTCCATCCACCCTTATAAACAACTCAACATCCTCAACAGGTAGTTTCTTCACTAAGATAAATTCTAGAAATCTACCACACTATTATTTTTCTTAGTGTAACTCTCTCACAAGCTAGACAAGGAGGGCAGTCTCACCCACACCCATTTATTATTATAACTATTTTATAGTTTTATTAATATTTATCCCCTCCAAGCTCTTCACTCATTAGCTTGAGCAGTTCCACAGCGGCATGGGTCAAGCTGACAGAACCGCTTCCGTCAAGCACTCATCCACCAGAACCCGTGGTGTAGGAAGATGGATTTGGTGTGGGTGGCGCGGCTTTCAGGACTACTGCGTGCGCAGCAACTTAAACTAGAGACCTGTGAAAGGATCTGTGAGCCGTGCGCAAGGACTTCCACACCCAGGCAATCCGAAACCTTCAGATATGGAGTCAACCAGCGGACCCCAGTTCCAATCCCCAACTAGGCAAAATCCACCCCACACAATTCACACCAAGGACATGGGTTCCAATCCCACCCTTGGTGAAATTTATACACAAAACATACTGGGTTCAATTCTCAACCAAGGGGTAAAATTATGGAAAATAAGAAGGCTCCCTTGTTCAATTCCCAGTCTCAGCCAAACATGTCCAGGTTGTCAGGCCCCCTGGTTTTTATAAATGTGGCTGTGGTCCAGGGAGCTTGAGTCAACTACCCCCTGGGCTGGTAGAGATGCTCTTATAAGGCTCAACCGGCTGAGGGCTCATTTTTGAGTACTTGTTTTTCAAAACTGAAAAAAAAAACTGATTAGGAGTTCATGATTGTAAATGATAAAGTTTTGAAGCCCATTCCAGGCTGTCAGAAGCACCAAAATCTATGCAGCTCACAAATTTTTTAAAATGTCAAATTTCAAAACTCCAATCATGAACCCTGTTATTAGTGATGTTTCTATTTGATTAGGGCATGGTTCACATCTGAACTTTGAGGCAAGCTTCATGACATTTATCATTAAAATTTTACAAATTTTGATTCATGAGATTTGACAAAATTAGTAAAATTTTATCTCTAAATGTGCAATATTTTGCCTCAAACTTCAGATCTGAACCGGCCTAATTAAGGGGGTTCGCGTACTGCTGATTTCGAAATCAGCAGTCGAACTTTGCTGGAATGGTAGTTTTAAGGTTTATGGGAAACCAAAAAAGTTTAGTGCGAGGTCCCCCTGTGGATTCAAAATCCCACATTTAAAGTTCATCAGGTTTGTGCATCAGCAAGCAAACCTTAAGCTGCATCAGCAGAGGTTTGGCTGGAACGTGAACCCCCTTATTAGATTGGCATTCTGGACAATCTATATGTACAGCTATTTCGGAAAGGGTTGTCCAGTTGTCTCTCAAATTTTTTTTTTTTTTTTTGAAAATTTTTAAATTTTTCTTTGTACTGAACTACAGCCGAGGAGGTACAGCTGTCATCAGTAGTTCAGTTCTGACAGGCCCAGTTCAGTAAAAAAATAAAAAATAAAAAAAATAAAAAAATAAAAAAGATTTCTCGAGTCCAAGTGGACAACCCTTTCCGAAATAGCTGTATGATGGATAGGAAAAACTTGAGTGTTCTTTGGCAAATTGCATGTGTTGTTACTCGCTTGGCATGCAATTTGAGCTTACATCAGTTGCTCCCACACTGCAACTTCAATCACCCCGAGCCCACCAGCGGCCAACCCCATCAAGCAAACCAGCCATTCAGTAATTTCGGTCATGACGTCATCTTCATCTCCAGCGGTCATACTGGTCACCGGTGGTAAGAGCTCGACTAGATTTCCTTGACAAGCGCTCTTCCTGACCACCCAATCTGTTTATGATCTATGCTCACATCTTAATCATTTCAATCTCAGGTAGTGGTTTAGTTGGCTCTGCTCTGAAACATGTTATCGATACTGAGCCGATTGGATCGCGGTTTGGGAGAAGAACGAAGGAGGAGAAGTGGGTTTTCTTATCCGGATCCAAGGATGGAGATTTGAGAGAACTCGATCAAACCCTCAAAGTTTTCGAAAAATACAAGCCGACGCACGTCATACATCTAGCGGCTCTCGTCGGTGGCCTATTCGCTAATATGAAGCATAATGCTACCTTCTTGCGTGATAATATGAAGATTAACGAGAACGTCTTGTGGTCTTCCAAAGTACATAACGTCAGTCATTCGAAATTTCACAATAACTATGCTCCATATAAGAAAAGAAAAGAAAAACAGTCTGACGATTTTGTGGCTTCTCCTGGAAACGGTATAGTGTCAAAAAGTGATTTCATGTTTGTCAACATGCGTTTTCCCAGATAAAGTGACTTATCCGATCGATGAAAGCATGGTGCATGATGGGCCACCTCACTTGAGCAATTTCGGCTATGCGCATGCCAAACGGATGGTCGATGTTCAGAATCAGTCTGTAGGATTCCCTTCCAAGACATCATCCACGCTCAAAGCATGCTAAACCGACTGTTTTTTGCCTACTTTGTTGTCCCCCTGAAATATAGCGCTTATCATTCTGAGTTTGGTTGTAACTTTACCAGCGCAATTCCAACAAATATATTTGGTTGGTTTCATCGATTGCTATTTATTCGGTGATCTAATAACTCATCTTGAGGTCGTTTATTCAGGTCCACACGATAATTACGACTTGGAGAATTCTCACGTGATCCCGGGATTAGTACATAAATGTATTTTAGCCAAAAGTTAGAAAAAATAACCCACTTCTTGTCTGTTTGATTATCATCTGACCTACCTCTCCATTCAACGATATATCACTTCCCTACCTTGGGATTCTGTAGAAAATAAAACTCCATTTGTTGTAGCCGGCAGTGGAAAGCCACTTCGACAATTTGTATATTCGTCTGATTTAGCTAAATTGTTTGTTTGGCAACTTTGGGAATACGAGGAGATTGCGCCGATCATCCTCTCCGGTAAGTATCTATTTTGTCTCTTCTCAAAAATATCCATCTCACTATTGAAGATCCACGAGGGGTGAAAGGTGATTCATTTTAATGCCCTGAACTTATTTTTACTTCTAGTCGGAGAAGAAGACGAAGTGTCAATAAAGCAGGTTGCGGATGCCATTGTCAAAGCAGTGGAATTTGAAGGAGACTATTCGGTTTATTACGATTTCATCATTATCCTGAGAGTGTGTGCTCAAAAACCTGACTTGATCTCCCCCAAAAAATACTCCCAGTTCGATACAACGAAAGCAGATGGCCAATATAAGAAAACCGCAAGCAATTCAAAACTGAAGCGATTATTGCCCGATTTCAAGTTCACACCTTTTGAAACTGGCAAGTGTTTCCTCTTTTTTCGTCCATTTCATTGCTTACATGTTAATCATGCTTGTTTGATCTATGATTCAGCTCTCGAAGAATCAGTAAAGTGGTTTGTTGAAAATTACGAATCTGCTCGAACTGGCCCAAAACATTCGCAAAACCCATGAGTAGTAACAGCCTCTTATCCCAATTTTCCACTCCATCCTTTATATACTTCGAATCGATCTAGCTTTTCATCTCTTTTCATTTAGTTATTCATTCCACTTTTGCATGTTTTTGCTGTCTATTTTATTAGCGTTTAGAATTTGTGGACATGTATATGTGAATGAAACAGACCACAGCTCAAATGTAAGTTTTTTTTTGATTCAGAATATACTCGGTTACAGCTATGTACTAAAACAAATGATAATAAAATAAGTATCAAGTAGATAGATTCAAGAAAATAAATTGAGATCAAGTAGGAAAAATATAGCAAGTTATAAGGAGAAGCCAAATGTGAATGGTTTTGATACAATGATGAAAGTATTGCAAAATGAGATGGAGACAAAGGACATCTTCTTCAATAGTTGATAAATGGTCTGAAGGTTAGATATTGAGTGTGTGCTTGACCAGGTGTTTGATAGGGTTATAAATCAGTGCTGGTGCTATGAGTTCTTTACTGATAATCAAAGGCACTGTTTATATGATTTACAATTTCTTGTTTAAAATGTGTATATGCATTGTTTCAACAGGGAATTGTCATTAAAATAAAGTTTTGAAATTTGAAAAAAAAAATTACCAAACAAAAACTTGAATGTTTTTCTCAAAAAACTTTGAAAGCTCAGGAATGATAGCATGACATCTGACATGGATGATGATATGTTAACATGGTGAAAAAAAATGACTTCTGTATGGTTCAAAACATGTGTTGGGTTGACAAACCCCTGTGTACAACCCAAGGCTATTTCAGGCTCATGTTTGCTAAATTTAGCACAAATTCAGCAGAACCAAGTCTGGAAGGCTCACATCCACAGCTTATAAGTTTACCCAACCTAAAAATTTAGCCAACAGCAGAGTAAGGTTGATGGTGCCACTTTTGGAAAAGTGCACGCCAACAGGTGCCTCTAGACTTGCTAGCAAGTGCATGTTGTTGGCAGGTGCAAGGATGGGTCACTGCGGCTGGGATGCCATTTAATTTTTCACATTGAAAAACCTTTTTGCACAGTTTTCCACAGATTTTGATTTTTTCAAAATCAGATTTTTTGCCCAAACAATTTTTTCCTGCCGTTGACTAAATCTGGCAGTTTCAGTATTGGGGCTGGGGATCAGCAGTCTTTGGGGGCAACTCCCTCCCCCCCCCCCCACCATGGGCTGCAGATGGAGGACCCCTCAAAACCTAGGGTTAGCAGCACATGCACACCCCCCTTTTCCATTATTGTGGGGTCCGCCTTTCTGCACTCCAAATTTTTCCCCCGCGCACACCAAAAATGGAGTGAACTCCAAGCATTCTTGGTGTGCACAAACACTGGGTAGTTACTTTGCCTGTAATGGTAGTGTAAAGATAAAGTAGTGAGTTTCCACTCATTACCATTACTTTTTGAATAATGTTTGGGAATCATTTGCACATTACATTATCCATTTTGTCTTGGATTTTTTTTCATGCTTATTACACTATCAGCAACTTGTAGATTTTTTTTGAAAAAAAAAAAACATAAATATGGGTACTATATGTCATACTTTTTGGACATTGATGGCATGTGTTGGGGCCAAATCTCAAAAAGTGAAGCTTTTTTGCTGCTTAAAGTGTATTTAGGGTTGCTTAAACTCTGGATAATCTGATAATGCATTACTTTATCCATTCAATACAGATGAAAACTTCACCATTACATTACTGGCTCAAAGAAAAATTTGCCACTACAGATAATGTTAATGTATCAGGGAAGGAATCAAGTGCACTACATTACTGAGATAATGCAGATAGTGCAGCGTAAAGTAGAGACCCAGTATTGTGTGCACTCCAAGTATTCTTGGTGTGCACTCCAAGTATTCTTGGTGTGCACTCCAAGTATTCTTGGTGTGCACTTGAAGTATTCTTGGTGTGCACTCCAAGAATCCTTGGTGTGCACATCGAAATGAGCAAAACTACATACTTTTGGAGTACATGGTTGTGCACTCCAAGAATATTGGAGTGCCCAACAATGCACTCCAAGATACTTGGAGTGCACAACGGCCATGTACTCCAAGATAATTTATGTGATTATATCTTAAGTATGTTTTGATTTTGTGAGTTGAAAAAAAAGTACAAGTTTATTTGTTCTTTGAATTTGAGACTATCTTCAAGCCAATAAGGCTCAAAACAATAGAATGAATTGCCGATGGAGGAGAATGTGAAGCTGAGCAGGAAGCCGACAAAAGGGACCAACAGGAGTCCTTTGGCCATCAAGAGATAGTTCAAGAGGATCAAGATACAAGGGTAATCCAAGCAAAGTTTTGTCTTCAAATAGTCAATGATTTCTAGCCATGAGCCAATTTTAAATGTTTGCAGGGCTATCCTGGAGTCTGAGACTTCTTGGGTTCTATGCTTTGAATATAAACAGCTTTTAGTGATTGTACTGTTGATTGCAATTGGTCTCAGGGGAGAATCATGGTTGGTGGGTTGGAGGATGAGATCAATTCTCAGGGGATACTGGTGGTTAGTTGCTTTGGAGGTTGAGATTGAAGGTGGCTCAATTGAATGTGTTTTGTCTTTAGGGGATGTGATATACCATAGAGATGGTCGCAGATAATCCGCCGCGGATATCCGCTATCCGCTGCCGGATACCCGCCAATGGGTGCGGATGCACCCTTCCCCCTGAAATACTGGCGGGTATCCGGGTATCCCAAGGGATACCCGGTGCCAAGAGGCCACACCGCCGGGAGGAATCCCTCCTGGCAAGCTGGTTTTTAAACCAGCTTGTTGGGAGGGGTTCCTCCCGACAAGCTGGTCTGTGTACCAGCTTGTTGGGAGGGGTTCCTTGTACCAGCTTGTCAGAAGGGGGTCCTTCCGACAAGCTGGTTTAAAATCCAGCTTGCCAGCAGCGGTGGGCCGCTACGCTACACTACGCTACGGGCCCATGTAGCGTTAGCGTAGCGGCGCCAATTTTTTTTTTTTCCGTGTAGTGTTAGCGCGCCGCTACGGCCGCTGCGCTACGCTAACTTGTAGCGGCGCTAACACTAGCCATTTTTTGGTGTAGTGTTAGCGCCCCGCTGGCGCCGCTACGCTGCGTTACGCTACGCTACAGCGTTTTTAGCGGCAAAAAACGCCAAAAAACGCTAAAAACTGCTGTAGCGCAGCGTAGCGGGCGGTTTTTTGCGCCCTGTGCGCGTAGCGTTAGCGCAGATGGGGAGAATTGCGCTAACGCTACGCTAAACGTTAGCGCATTTTTTTGCCCCGTGCGCGTAGCGTTAGCGCTGAAAATGAAAAAAGCGCTAACGCTACGCTACATTGTAGCGATTTTTCGCTACACTACGCTACGCTAACGCTACAGTTAGCGTAGCTGGCCCACCGTTGTCGCCAGGAGGGGGTCCTTCCGACAAGCTGGTCTGTGTACCAGCTCGTAGGGAGTGATTCCTCCCGACAAGCTGGTACACAGACCAGCTCGTCGGGAGGAACCGCTCCCAGCAAGCTGGCCTGTAGATGCTCGCCGGGAGGGGTTCCTCCCGACGGTGTGGCCTCTGCCCCTTTAGGCCGAGGGGGCCGGGGTTTTTTTTTTTTTTTTTTTTGAAAAAACACTCTCCTGGAAGAGCCGGCTGCCTCACCGCCCATTCAGAGGGCGGGTATTGTTGAGATCTGAGCTTCGCTCTAGATCATTCAAGTACCCAAGATCGAAATACTTATGACATCATATGGCCTGAACTCTGGATTTCATCAAAGCTCATGCAATGATGTCATCACACTCAAACCCTCTCGAAATCTTTTGCCCGTACAACCGTGCACTTTCCTTTTTCCTTTATCAATCCCCTTCTTGGTCGAATCGTTCTTCCCTCTTCCCTCAGGACTCATTCTGATCTCTTTCCTCCTCAATCAACATTCTTAATTGATTGCGCCATTCCTATTCCGAAATCATCTCTCACCTTCGATCGTCACTTCTGATTCGACTACTTCTTATCCTCGTCATTCATCCATCATCGATCATCACTTTTGATCCGACTTCCTCCGATCCTCTTCATTCATCCTTTTTGATCATCGTATCAAACCAATCCCTTCCATTCGACAATTCCGCCGACCACTACTTTTCCTCGATTATCCTCAAGTCATCGTAGGTGTTCATCGGCTCTTTTTCTCATCAAGGATCTTGATATTAATCCACTTTCTTTTGATTAGCTTTCCCTTCTATCTTTCTTCCATCGTTGTGTTTAGTTATATTGTTGTCTCATTTCTTTTGCCATCTACTGCTTTTAGGTGATTACTTTTTTCTTTCTTTTTCTTCTCAAATTTGTATTTCTTAGCTGGCACTCATGAAATACAAATGCGCTTTTAGTCTATTCATTCACAGATTTACAGTCTCGAACGCTCGATCGAAATCGAACGACTCATTCAAGACGAAGCAGTAATGGCCGACAACTCTGAACAATCGATCAAGACTGAACACCTCCTACCAATTCTCAACGGGAAAAACTATCCTTCTTGGTATGGCCGCATGAAAGTGCAACTCCGTGGTAAAGATCTCTGGTCGGTTTGTGTCACTCCCCCTGCCGATCCCCTCACTACGACACCAGTCTCAGCATCGACCGTCTCAGCAAACACCACCTCGAGCGATCACGCAATCTCAATCATTGTTCCACGTCTCAGTCAACGTTGTTACAACGAATGCGTCAATAGTACCACTATTGACAGCGCCTTCCTACTTTGGAAGAAGATTGCGGATCAGTACGCCTCGAGAACGGTCATAAATCAAGGACGGGTTTACATGACCTGGTCAGCACTTATATATAAAGGCAATCTTCAAGAATATATTGACGATACCAGGGCATGCTTGATCGACATCGACGCTGTTGGAATCAACGTACCGGTCAAAGTGATCGCCTATCTTATTCTTGGCAAATTGATGAACCAAGATCTGGATCAAATCGTCGATAAATTAGCCTTGGATGAAAAGATAATATCTGACCCGTATGCTGTACTGAATGAACTCCAGACGTACCAAACACATAAGTTCAGTAAGGACGAGAAGGGAACTGCTCTATACACTTCCGCTCCGACTCCTTCAAAATTGTCGAATCACTCAAAATCAAAGTTTCCGACCAAGGTTCTTCACTTCTGTGGATTCGGAGAACACAATCCTGAATCCAACCATCCAGAAAATCGATGCCTTGAAAAATATCCGGAACTCAAAGCCGAATTTTCAAAGTCAAGGAAGAATCCCAGTGCTAGTTTCGCTCATGCCGCTGCGTTCGTCACTTACGTTCTTCCTCAGTCCTCAAACTCTTTTATAATCGACTCCG